AATGGCTACTTACACCAAGGCCCGGTTTTTTTTCTGTTCCATGTTTGGCACATGCCAGACCTCGGTTGATTGGAATGACTAAAGCCTATGAATAGCTTCCATCTTTTACACTGTGAAATGTGGGATTGTTTTTGCAAAGTATTTGGGCTAATTTTCAGATTTACAAGTCACTTATATATCATTGCAAACTTCCTCTAATTTACCTGTCCCATGTAAGAATACTGCTGCATAACATTTGGCAGGTTGATGGGTGTGTTATTGTGCTGGATGGTGTTATTGGAATGGATGAGGACGTCTGGAGGTTTCCTGGGATTGCTAGTATAGTTGGATATGTGCTGGGGTTAGATGGGAAATGGGAAGGGCTGGTGTTATCTCAGATAATCAAATGTGTGCGCTTCCAGCTGTGCTGTGGGCACATCTACACGAGATGCTTACTGAGTGGTAGCCTAATAATACTGAGCAGTAGCGTGCCAGTCAGAAACAGTGCTAATAAGCTCCTGCAGAGTGTTATTAGGCTACTGCACAGTAAACATCACAAAAAACACATGTGCTGGTATTACTGTGCAGTAACTGTACTTACTGCACATTTTGTTAGTACTTCATTAAGCAAGTACTGAACTAAACATGCAGTAACTACTGCACATGAATGAACATGTAGACACACCCTTTGAGCCTGAGATGTGATAGGGCTGCCAAATCACATCAGTGCAAGATGCCTATCTAGGCATCAACTTTCAGTAAGGTTAACTGATTACTGTAGACCTCTTAACTGAGCTGATGCATGCCCTAACCTCCCTGCATGTATTCTACCATACCATTTTAGACTGTTGTGTGTGCAAGGGGCTGGAGTATGTAGAGAAAAGTGTGTTAGAGAAGGTGATTTACTGAGCTGTGTGCATCTATCCTGTGGCTGGTATAGCATCCAACCTTTTAACACTGAACCTCAAAGAGGGCTAGGTCATCATTTTAGAAGCTGTCCTCAGTTGCTAGCAGTTTATTATTGAATTGTTCCTAGAGCAACCCCAAAGGGTAGGCTGTGACTCATAGTTTGCCTCTTGGTCACCTCCCACTCATTCTGAGAAAGAAGCTGTGTGAAGCCTATGCCGGAGGTATACGATTTCTCTGCTGGCACATGACTGCAGTAGCCAAGACCATGCTCAGTCTTCCAGTTCCCAACCTGTGTAGTGACGTGATGGAATAGCACGTCTGAGATCTGCTTCTCTACAACCCCCAGGCCACTTGCTCCCCCCAAAACTCTTCCCTTGGGTAAAAAAGATAGAGACAGTCTTGTCCAAAGTACTTGTGTGAGGTATTGTACCTCCGCAGACGCAAGAGTCTTGAGGATCTGACAGACATCTAATATGAGATCAAAACTGGACATACCAGGCTGGGAATTAGTTTGGCCATAATACTATAGCAATCACATAGAGCACAGCTATGATAATGGTATTGCTACTCCACGAAGGGAAGAAATGTAACACACAAACGGCAGACTATTTTGCTAGATACTTATCACTAGCTAAATGCTTGCAAAAGATGCTATTGCTCAATTAACCTCTTCTTAGTGAGCTTTTACCTCATAAAAACCATCACAAAAATGACGATAGGTTAAATGCTGCTGCAGTTAGATCTCAAATTGACTTTGGAAGTCTCCTATTGCTTTGTGAAAGTAGCATCATCCATCTTGACATGCTCACTGTTTCCAAATGCTGGTGCAGTCATCTTTCTGCATTAGTATTCAAAACAGGGAAGAAAAGGGAGAAAGCTATACAGACCAACTAAGTACAGGGGTCTGCTGAGACAAGCCATGACATACCACGTATTGAGGGAGATTATCTCCACACTGTACATTTCTTTTCTCTCCTGTTGCTATCAAAACTAGCACAAGAGAATTGATGGGTTTAGTTATCGTAGCACTTTTCTTGAATTTAACCTGTACCTAAATTGGTTTGATGCATTACAGACAAAAGGAGACCTATCTATTGAGTCCCTCAATGTTATCCAAGTTGCTTCCCGCTTAGGTCATAGCTCTCATAGCTTGAAACAGCCTCCCAGATTTTAACAAGACTTGCTATGGATCCCTAGGCCACTGTGGGCAAAAGTGGGGCTTTCCTTCCATTGGCACACCACCTGGTAGTCACTACCCCAGCCAGGCATTTGTGAGCAGACACCGCAGATGCTGACCAAGGAAGTTGCTCGCAAGAAATGCAATGCTATAAATATTACTGCTATTTAAAAAAAAATCATATTGTCCATAAGCACAAAGTAAAAAGATGAGCAGGAATCCTATTCTCTTTGCATAATAAGTGCTACATAGCCATCTAGTTGCTGTTGTCTAAGGGAATAATCATGTGGCTGAGGATGTGTGTGGCAGTTTCTAGAATGGTGTGCTGTGATATTAAAGATTTATCAGCCTGATTTAGAAAAACTGTATTACTTGCAAAACACACCTGGATGAAATGCTTTTGGGAAAAAAGTGCAGATGGGGGTTGACCAAAAGAATTAGCAAACTCCTGTCAGCTTCAGTGGCTCATTTTCTGTGGGAAACTTTCCTTCTTTAATTGAAATATTTCATTATAATGTATTCAAATTGTGTTTAAAGCAGCAAAACTTTGAGAAAAAGCTCACCATGACACATGAAGTTTTCCATTTGGGGTTGAATTAGAGGTTTCTATTGATTTGAAACTTTTTTTTGGGGGGGGGGGGCTTCTCAGCTTTCTCATGAGCTTGCCATTGACAGATAAGACCTGCTCACTCCTTTGCCCTCTACATATTCCAAACCCAGGGATAAAGCAGACAGCCTAAGCAGAAGTGGCCCACACCGTTGCTCTCACCTCGAGCATACTCGTGGGCCACCCATTCACCATCCTCAACTTTGCCCTTCAAGGCTTGGAGTACGCAGAGCAGAAGTTGAGCAGACAATGACGGTGTCATGAGCAGCAGAGAGTTAACACAGACAGCCTAAGCCAGCTACACTGCAGGTGCATCTACGCATGCAATTACCTTGATGCAATAAAGTCTGGTGTGATTCACTCCCGTCAGCTGTTCCCAGGCATGGTGTTTACACATGAACCAATGATTGTAGCAATCTGAGCTAGGATGGAGCAGCCCTGGCCTGGCAAGAGGCACAGGGGGTCAGCCCCTGGTTCTGCGTGGCAGCATTGGGCATTGGAGGTGCTGGCTGGGGCATGAGGGTGCTAAAGTATCAAACTAGCCAGTAGGCAGCCCCTGCACTGTAGCACACTCGTGCCTCAACCAGCCCTGGTTACCATCTACACGTGCATTGCGGTGGCATAAATTACTCCACCATAGGATAGTACTTGCTGTGGACAGTGCTATCCTACAGCAGAGTTAATTAATTTACTGCACCCCGGTATGGGCACTTTTATAGACTGTGACACTCTACAGCAGAGCTAATTAGTCAGCTTCTCAATAAAGATGTACCCTGTGGTGTTCAGTGTCCACTCTGCACTCAATGCCAGACATCTGGGCCAGGTACAGACATTACACGTTTACTGGCATAAGTGATCAGAAATCGGTCTTTACACATAACGGAACAGAAGTGTGGTGTACATAAACTGGTTTAAAAATGGCAGAACCCAGTCTCAGATTTGAATTCCCCACCAAAGGGCAAACGTGTGGTCTGTTCACTGCCACCTGCGACGCTTACAGAAAACTGTACGACTTACAGCAATTCTGCCATGGACTTTTTCAACGTCTGTACCTAGCCCTCCTGCATTCTGGGTGCATCTACACATTCATTACTGCACATTAAGTTTAGTATTTGTATAATCAAGTACAAAATCAGTGCGCAGTAACCAGCATTACTGCGCAGTAGCGCTGGTGCATGCCTTTTTAGTGATGCTACTGCACAGTATTATTAGGCTGTTGCGTAGCTAGTATCTCGTGTAGATGCACCCATCGTGCCTATTTCCAGCTGCCTGTGCAGAGCAAGAAAAGATCATAGCAGTGCATAGCTCAGGCTCCCTCTAGGAAGCCCAATCCTGAAGATCACAGTTGCCAATGTAGCACTGCCTCCCTTCGCTCCCCCCGCCCAGTCAAAATAAAGGAAACCTGTGCAGGGAAGAAAGGCTGCTTCATCTTCCATCATTTGGCAGTTGGCTGCTTTTAGCTCCCATGCTGCCAGCTCTGCACTGGCACCCTGTTCTTTAGCGTGTCTGAGAACTGTTGTTAGCAGGCAGCTGTGACAACTGATGTCTAGGTATCGTGGAGATGGATGCCCTATAAGCAGCAAGGGAAGGCAGAGAGATGCACAGAGAGAAAGCGACTGTTTCTTATGTTGTTTAATATTTAATTGAGATGCTGCAAGTGCTGCTGACGACCAGATTCTTTGTATACCTGCGTGTTTAGAACGACCTCTCCTTTTTGCCCCTCTGAGTAGCAGTTAAATGCTCATTAGAGCTGAAAATTTCTCCTTTTTTGGCAGATTACTGACACCTATGTCTTGTAATACATAACCTTAGGATGCATAATGGGGGATGTAAAACTCTTCTATAGCAGTACTGGGATTATGGAAGAAAAAGCAATGGTTTCATATTCTGGCCCTTATTAATGAACCAAATTGGTTTAAATGCCCTGTTTTAAGCATAAATGAAAGATAAAGAACTTGCGAGATTTATGAACAGGGTCATTAATGTAGAGACTCTCTCTCATTAGATCTGTTACATTGCTTTCCAAGCAGCAGTACTCTCAATTAGAAAAATTTATGAACTGGAATGATTACAAATATACCATATTTCAAACCTACCCTGGTCTTAATGCAAAGCAAAAAGTAATTAGATTTCTGTGGAATAATTGATTTCCTTATAACTTCTTTTTTTGCTATAAATTTATTCTACTACCTTCCACAGGAGGAAAATTTACCTTTCAATACAATTTGCACTTTAGTTGCAAACCTGTGAGGGTTGCATTAATTTACTAACCTTATTAAAGCAGAGTTAATATTGTGAGCTAATATGGTTGGTTTTCCCCTTTGCTAGACTTCCAGGTTCACTTTCTAATGCCTGATCTGAACTGAAGGTGAGAGGAAACATAAGGCGTCTTTCATTCTGTTTGGACTGGCTGTTTACAGAAGCGATGGAGATGCTATTCAGCACAAAAGGGATCACCATATGCCTGCTTTTTTTTGTATTAAGTTTGGCAGCAGCTATTCAAATACCATTATCAGGTGAGTTGTTGCTATTTACATAACTCTTCAACAGCATTGCCTATTTTTCTCCACCTCCTTTCCCTAAAAAAACAAATGTTAAACCTGCCATTCAGCTGGTCCACTGTGAATTTGATTCTGCCATAACATGATTTTTTAGGAATCCATGCGTTGGAAAAAAAGTAAGTTTCTTTCTTCTTGTTGTTGTTTAAATGCAGCAGTAAACTTACCTAACATTCAAGATCTGGCATATTGTCCAGCTCAACACATTCAACCCTGCCCTCTCTTTATGCCCGAGTTTCTCTCTGCAGCTTGTCTGAAGTACAGATTCATTTATTTATTTGCCTTCCAACCTCCTGTTTCATTTTGGAACAAGGAGCAGGTGTGCATCTCTGGGAATAGTTAAGATCCCAGCGCAGTATTTCCTGTGACTTGCATATAGCCCTGGGGAACCCCTTCTTTACCTATAACTGGCTATGGTGCACATCAAACAGCACATTTTGCATGGCTGGTGCATCTTCAATGATTGCATAAAATATGTCATAAACCTCACAAAGGCCCAATCCTTCTGAAGTAAAAGCAGTATCACTTAGCCCAAATCTAACATACCATTCCATATAGGTCTGACTGAAGTATCCATTTTTTTTCTGGGGGCGGAAAAAAATCCCTGTGTTTTTTTTTTTTGGTAAATAAATGATGTCAGCAATAGACATTGGCAGAAAGAGCAAGCCTGGCCTTTTCCTAAGCTGTCAGACGCTATAACATTAAAGGTCCTTAATTAGATAGTTTAGGGCACGAACTCTGTGGGGGGGCGGAGGTGGGGGTGGGGGTGGAAAGGCATTGTGCCTGTCAGTTAGTGGAAAAGTGCAGTTAGGCATTGCAGCATATGCTGCCTTCCAAGACTGTGTGTACTGTGCAGTACTGCGTGCTCCTCTCTGCGTACTAGTGAGGAGGCAGTAGTCCTCCTCCCTTTGACAGTGGCAAGCACCAGTGGATAGCTAGGAACGGTCATTGTGCTCGATTGAGCACAAAAGTGAATATGTAGCTATAAAAGGTGGGTTAGGTTCCTTGTCCATAAACACCTACTCAGGAGAACCATCTGGCCCTTGATTTGCTTTAATGATGTGTTTTATATTTTAATAAAGATGGAATTATGTCTAGCTGGAGAAGCTGGTGGGAAAGGGTGGGCCCAGCAGAGCTGCAAGGGGTTGAAGACCATGTGGTGCAAGATACCACCGTTTGTTTGAGTGGTGAGCTTTGTGGACTAGAAAGCAGAGAACAGAATCGTTTTTTTTCCCCGTTTATAGCAATGTGATGATCCTGTTATCACTAATTATTCCGTCAGGCTCATTCTCCATTGTATCACTGCTGCACAGAGCCTCTTACCACTTTAATTTCCTTAGAAAGAAAAAAAGTCAATGAAGGATCATTGCTTTGCTGTATGTGTAGTAAGGATGCTTACTCAAGGCAAAGTCTGCGCTGCCGACCAGACCAGAGTCAGGTATAATGGAGTCTTGCCTATTTGTGATTGGAGATGATTTACCGTGTTGTAGACTATATATATGTATACTATAAAACACCCCAGCCACTACATTCCCTGCTCAAACATAGTAACTCTAGGCAAACATGAGACAGACTAATGCTCCAGCAAGCAGATAGGAATTGACTGATTTCGATGAGAATATTTCTGTTGTTACCCACAGCTCATCATTTCTAATTGCAATAAAGTTTTATGTAATATTAATGGCTACAGGCTGGGAAGTTAGTGTGTTCAGAAATGTCACTAATGAAATGCACAGCATGCTCTAGGAAGTATATACTCATGCATATTGCATCTTATTGAAATCCACGCTTATTTTGCACATATTTGATTTATCCAGAGACGTGAAAATATTCATCTCCTGCCTGACTCATTAACAGTGAGGAGGACACCAGTCTTCTCGTCACCAAACTTAAAAAAAAAAAAAATCACTTTCAAAATCGCAGCTGGCAAATTAGAGTGCCGAGCAGTCATGAATGTTAGAAATTCAAACCCCACATTTGTTGTCTTGAGCTTTTGTTAGAAGAGAGACTGTGGTACCTATTAGGTCTCTGTGAAGCAGAGCCACGCAGAGCAGTGAAAGCAGGAACACCATCTAGGTAGTAATCTGTAGACCCATTATACTCTCAGACTGCTGAGGAAGTTAGTGCTTTACTGGGGAGAGAGAACTTCATAATGACAGGGCTGGCGTAGCCTGTACTTCTTACAAGGACCTGATCCTAATCCCTTTGAAGATTTAGAGCAGGCCTACGTACACAAAAATGGGTCACGCTGATCCTGAGTCCACCCCATCACCCTCGTTCTGTGTGCCGGAGTGTCTCTGCCCATGCTCCTTATTTGTGCTGGGACAACAGTCACCCAGATTTCAGAGAGCTGACATTTGTAACATCAAGAGGATATTTTTTTTTAAGGTAAGCCTGGCAGGTTCTGGGAGCATCCAACTCCCTGTGGTGCTTATGGCTTTCCCCCAAATAGTACTTTTAATCAAAACATCCTCCCTCTGTTTAGTCGCACAGCTTCCAACAATCACGGAGCAATCTAAGACTCAAGTTGCCTACCCCTTTGATGACGACTTTGCCATTAAATGTGAAGCTACTGGGAATCCACAACCCACGTGAGTATTTGCTTTCACTGGAGAAACAAATGGAAGTTGGAGCCTGCTTTTGTACCTCTTTCCGCTGTTGCCTAACAGGGTTTACACTGGAGCAGGAAGGGGAGAGCTGAGGTGCACTAATCTGCTTGTAATCTCGGGGATACATTAAGCTTTGCCTTTCCAGTTCAGGACACTCCATCTTTGTTGCCCGATCTGTTCCACTCGCTCTGTGAATAGAGATTAACGGGCCTCTTCCTCTTTGGAAATGTTTCATTTCTCTTGTATGTCCTACGTTCACCCCATGATTTACACCAGGCTGGCTCAGCTGTGCTGCAAAAGATATGAGGTGCGTAATGGTAATCAAAGGGTACCAGCTGTTCTTCTGCCTTTTGCACTGCTTAGCCTCCTATCCCATGAAAATACCAAGCACATTAAACCAAGTGCTCAATGTCCACATTTGCATTTAATCTGATGTTTTGTGTGTGCCTAGGATCACCATGGGTTTTCTCCAAAACCCATCAAGTGTTTCGCATCAACGTAAAAGAAACAATGTTTTAATACGGATATATGACTTCAATAACAGAATATTTTCTATGAACTTCCACCAATCAAGTTGTTTATGCAGCATGAGTTAAATTATTTGATAGCTGACCAGGAGCCTTCTTTGTGTTTTTAATGTCAATATTTAACACTTAGCAAGGCATAATATGGTGTGAACTAATTTTAAGATTTGGTGTTAAAAAGATAACTTTGATTTTAAGGCTACATTTACTTTTTGTAATATTAGTATAATATATGCTGATGTCATTGTTTTGGGTTGGCTGTGACCGAAAGCTGTGGAATATGGTGTTTTTTTTAAAAGCCCATGTTTTTGTTTCACACTCTGTTGCTAATGAAAAGCTAAGTTTCCAAATGCTGAAAAAGTTTGCCAAGCTTTGATGGCCTTCTGATAGCCCTGGAAACTCTTTTCTACAGGAAAAACTGCCTTTATATTCCCTTTTGAATCAGAGTGAAAAGGCAAATATTTCCTATGGACTGAAATTTTTTTTTAAATTTAACTTCTGGACCCTCAAAATATTGTTTTGAAACAGTGCAACACACTATATTAACTAGAACTCATATGATATAGCATTAGATATGTTATATAGTATAATAGAAATACTAGGTTAATATAATATTAAAGTAAAAACAAAATTAAACTAAAATAGGAATGAAATGTATATATATTTAAAAAAATATACATGTGAAATATGAAAATTTGGTAGAAACCAACACATTACCATGAAACATTTCAATATTGATGCACCCTTTTTTTGGTAAGAAAATACAGTTGAGGACTGTGCTTTTGTTAAATCTTACTCTTTTCCCATAGTGTATTACATTACGTCTTAATGAGTGTGTTGTTTTTCAGTTTTAATTGGACTAAGGATGGAAAACCATTTGATTTGCTATCTGACCCCAGGATAATCCCATTTAACAATTCAGGAACATTCATGATCCAAAACCATGGAATCATGGCTGATTTTCAAGGAAAATATCGTTGCTATGCTTCAAATGCACTTGGAACTGCCATGTCAGAAGAAATTGAATTAATAGTTCCCAGTAAGTTTTTTAGCTAAAAATATGTATTGCTTTTAATAATATGAGAGCGCATGAGTAATTCATCTTAGCAAAATATGTGGGTCGGTTGTTATATGTTGAATATTATACAAGGTTTTTAAGTGCTGCATGGGAATAGCTGATAGCAGCCTAAATGGTGAAGGGTAATAGTTGTTTGGAATGATATACATTTTTCTAAGTATCCTCCATCTTGCTCAGGGATGCTAAGAAAACTCTATAGATTTTTCTCTGTTTAACCACAGTATCCTCAAAGCCACAAAGTCTAGTAATAATAATACCTCTAACCAAGGAAGGCTCGAGAAAACTTACTGTAATGATATGTATGCCATACTTGGGAGTCAGCTTGACATGCACTTTCTAGCACAGCGCTCTGACATTTTAATGTGATCTCATCATGTCGTATCCAACATCACAGCCTTGCAATAGAATGAGACTGTATCAAAGTATTATCATCTGGAGGTAATGTCCTGGTGTGATAGCTTTTCATAGGATTCAGACCTTGTGAATAGCTAATTACCCCATAAAACACATTATGATCTTGGAAAGCTGATGTGGATGGCAGTACAGTATATACACGGTGGTGCTGTCAGATGTCACAAGGCCCTTTTCCCCTTCAGAGTCTCACTAAATTGTTTCTGCAGTGTCCCTGGTTTCTGCTTTCTAGGAAATTAGTCTGCATTACTAATGCAGAAGTTCAGACACCACTAATGAATCATCAGCCTCTTCATAGGTTTTTTAATACCAATGCTAAAGCACACTCCCCAAACATTTTAATTACTTTAAAGGGCCTGGGTAAATTATGTACATATTTCCCTAACTACATGAATTTTGAGAACAAATATTGTTTATTGCTGCTTGCTGAATATCATCCACCATGCTCTGTCTCTAGAGGATAGACCAGCAGGCATATTAGTATAAACTTTTCCATGGCATCCACAGGAGAGTTCAGTGGCAGAAAATTATTTGACTATCACTAGACTATTTAAGTGCCTTTCTAAAGATTTGGCTTTAAATGTTTAATACAAACTTTATTTTTATTTGTTTAAAGCCTAATTTTGCTCATTCAGTGCCACTAGTCACAATCCTTGGTTTTTCTATAGAAAGGAGAAAGAATATTGATGAGAGTCATTGCTGGTAGGTGACAAAGTCAGCAAAAGACTGTATCAAATCTGGCCAAGTACATGGGAGAGGTCAGCGAGAAACAAGTGAAAGCACTTAATGCACACAGCCTGGGCAACAAAAGGTGGTAATAAGAGCTATTGGTGCGGCACCCAAAACTGGGTATTATAGGAATAACAAAACACAAGGGAAGAGCAATTGTTACTAGAATACAGCTATCACAAGCAATGTAATGTTTAAGAAAGATATAAATAAGGGTCGAAATGGTGGCTTGTTGTTATACTTTAAAGATAGGAGAGACTGAACAGAAACGATGGTATGATAACACAGAATTGGTTTGGGTCTCTTGAGGGAAGGATCGTAAAAGAGGTTCTGCTACAGAATCCCTGAATTGGATTTGGCTATGATAGAAAGCTCTCTAATATCAGACCAGAGAGAGAGAGAGAGTGATGGTGCCAGCAATTATTGGATCATTTAACTTCCCAGATATTGATTGAAGAACAAGTGCTACAATAGTGGTAGGAACCAGATATTTCTGGATGTGAGAACAAATAGATTTCTTCACTGAACAACAGGCGATGGACCTATGATGGACTTCTTTTTTCCCCCTAAATAACACGGACCTGATAGAGTGGTTAGAGAAAATTACATTGGATTGAATGGTCACAAGTTGATTCTATTTAAATTTAAATGGAAGAATAAACAGGAATAAGCCTGTAAGTAAGGTTTTCAATTTCAAAGGGTCAGACATTGAGAAATCAAAAAAAGCTGTATAGTGAATTCAATTGGACTGAAGAGCTCGAGTACTAAAATATGGAGAAGACTTGCAGTTTCTGTAAATCAAAGGTACACCGACTGTGAGGAAACTGTATCCTAACAAAAGAGGAAAAACTCAAAACAGGGGCCCCAAATGTAGCTGGATGCATAATCCCTTTTAAAAGTATATTAAGGCTAAGCAGAGAGCCTGCAAAGAATAGGGGGAAAAAAGGCCTGACCACTTTGTACTAATAAAAGTGAAAATTACCAAAAGTCAAACCGAGTTATACTTTGCAAATCATACAAGTTTTCTTACCACAATAAAAAAAGAGAATATGGATAGCAAAAGTGGGGGCAGTGTACAGTAAGAATGGGATCAAACTGGGAGGGGATGATAACAAATGTTCCCCAGGGTTCTGTCCTGGGCCTGCTATGGCTATATATGTTCATGAATGAGTTGAAAGATGGAATTGAGTCCATACATATTGCATTTGAAGCTATGCTTGCTACAATTTACCTAAAATGGGTAGCAGATGTTTTTTGGAGGGCAAGAAAAGTATTTGGGATGACCTTGATGACTTTGGACAAAATATCTGATGCGAATGCGATGATATTTAGTACTAGATAAAAAAACGAACAAGAAGGTGCTTAAATACAAGAGAGAGAATTACTGGCTCGTCTGCAGAACTGCAGAAAAGGAATCTGAAGGATCTCATGGATTGCACGCTGGAAATTATAATAACCTTCTGGGATGCAATGACAGCAATGTCTTATGCAACTCATGGGAAAGGCTTCTGCCATGCTATTCAGTATTAGTGAGAGTTCACCCGCTTCCAGTTTCAGACCCTGCATTTTAAGAGCAATGGACACATTGGAAGAGTCCAGAGGAGAGCAATAAGAGTGCTTAGATGCCTAGACAACATGATGTGTGATGAGAGGCTGGAAGAGTTGGGATTATTGAGTCTAGAGAGAGGAGACTACAGGATGATTTGATAATAGTCTTCAAAAACAATAAGGGTTGATATAAAGAAGGTAGTGATGAACAGCTCTCTTGTGTTCATAGGTACAGGATGAGAAATAATGGTCTTATATTGCAAAAAGGATGATTTAGGTTAAATTAAAAGGTTTCCCACTTTGAGGGCAGTTAAGCACAGGAACAGATTACCTACGTTGTAAAATCTTATCATTGAAAGATCTGAAGCAAAGATTAAACAAACCCTTCTCTAGGACGCTTTAGACAGAAGTGATCCTGCTATGATCAGAGGGCTGGACTAAAGAGATTCCTAAAGTCCTTTCCAGCTCTACATCTGCCAAGTTTCAGTAGTACTACACAACATTTAGATGTTTAAGTTGATCTGAACTAAATGTGTATGATGTGAGTTAAAATTATCTAGCTACCAGTAGGTGGGACACACCAGCTGTCTGGAGTCACCTAGAGTTTTAAACAGGATGAGATGAAAAACAGGCAGTCAAAGCTTTAGGCAAAACCTAATTAATTTACTGTGGAGTCTGGCCAGGGCATGGTGATTTATACTCTAATGCAAAGTGCCTTTGGCCTTTTAATTTCCTAAGGAGTTCAGGACCACAGTTTTGTGTCTCAAGTAAAGAATAACATGTCCAAGTCTTCTGATACTACAGTGACCCATTGCTTCTACTTTCAAAAGAGACTCTTAAATATACAAAAATCAGAACACTTTGCTTAGTTGATGCTTGCCTTGGAGTTTTGAGCTTATAAATGAGACCAGAGATGTTATCTGACAGATCGTGTAGCTTTCATGGTATGTGCTGGTCAGGATTTCCATCATCGCAATACAGGTGCGAGGGTATGTACACCAGAGGTGAACTTCCATTTTCTTTATTGCGTTGAACTTCATGGATTGTAGACTATGGAGGAGGGACTACTGAAACTGTGATTCAAGTCTTGGAGCATTGTACGGTATTCTGCAGAGCTACTTCTGTTGAAACTGCAAGATTTCAAGTTGATCATCTCCCTGCTAGCTGGACTGGATGCCAGAAGGGTTTTTAACAAATGTAATCTAATAAACAAAGCATCTCTTTCCATCTACACAGCTTTCAGTTCTACACATAGTTAAAAATTGGGGGGGGGGGGGTTATGGAGGAGAACTGGAGGAGCCAGTGAAAAGTTGAGAGTATTTTTGAGTACTTTTTTTTTTTCTTTTTGCCTTGGAATTGCGGAGTGTTCCAATAGCTACAATTGCTACATTCAGTTGAAGGAGGCTGCAAATGTTGAGCTGTCAGTCTAGGAAGCGGTAATCAACCCACTAAAGGAGCTCACATAATGGGATTGATGAGATGACTCTGACTCTGGGGAAGCATCTATTTGTGCATGTCTTTGTCAGGTATCTGGTTGGTTGAGGTAAGACCATAATCATAATTTTCAGGTGAATACCAAGCTTGAAAGGATACTAGACACATGGCAGGGTAGACCTAAGTAGCAAATTAACTTGGAGAGCACAGAATTATGGGTTCTGCAAGCTGAGAGAGAAGATCTGGTGCTAATTAATGTGAAAAGACCTCACAAGAAGAGGAATAAGCTGAAGATACTTTATATGGGATACTTACTTAAACCCCATGCCTATCCACTGTATTTACCCAAATCCAAGATGATATAAAATTTAAGACAAGCCCCCGATAATTAGATCCTGTATGTGAAATATTAAAAATTTCTTAAATTCTTCTTGGACTTGAGCAAATATGGTATTAAGCCGACTTCATCTTCATTTAATCTCATTTCTATATTTTTGCTACTATTTTTCCATCTACCTGTACATCATATGTTGTATAATAGCTTAGGATTAATGAACAGAAGTAGACTTAGTTCTTCTGAGGTAGTGACAACAACCCATAAGTCCTGTACAACTCAGAGTTGCTTGTGCATAAAACCTTTGTAAATTAATCTTGAATTTTTCACTGCTACAGAAGAGACCACAATGAACAAACTCTACACAGCAGTAGACACTAGAACAGGGACTGGCACATGAAAGATCTCTGCATGCTTTCATGATAATGATGTGGAGGTTGGCAGGACTCTGCCAGCTGTGCTCAGGTTTAATGCAAGCACCTTGGCAAGCCACCACTCCAATAAA